ATACCGGCTGTCACCAGGGCTGGGGAGTATCCTGTGGGTTTGCCGTATGCTCTGGGGTGCCTTGGACCAGACACTGAGAATCATGGCACCGAGCTCATCTCGGCTTTGTTCCTCTGACTCTGTTCTTATCTTCAAAGCGTCTGATGTGCTGGTCCTGCCTTCTGCCCACGGAGGTACATTACTATCGTGATGTCATCATCGTCTGTCACCTATCTACTGTCACCTATGTGTCTTCCCCACTGTGTGTGTATACATAATATGTAGATATAGTTTTCTTATATGCATATACTATATATAGTTATATGCAAAACTATATATATGTATATTTATTTAGTTTTCCTATATGCACAGAAGAAGCTTCTATCTGTACTGCCCATGTGTAGGCTTCCACCTTGTGAAAATTCCTTAAACAGTATTATAGCAACCGTTTACATGACATTTACACCATATTAGCTGTGATTATATTCTAGAACCCACTTACCGTGCATGGGAGGATGTGGTAAGTTGCATGAAAAACACCATGCCCTTTACTTAAGGAACATAAGCATTAGATGAGGATCTTGGAACCCATCCCCCACCATGCAGAGGGTCGGATGGCTGAACTTGTTTTCAGTTAGCATTCTGTAATGGGTATGGAAACTTCTCCAAATTCTGTGTTTCTCTCCTTCCTCACAGAAGAAAGTTGTTGAGAGTAGCTAAACTCCACCTCCCCCAAAGGAAACTAAAAGAAAAACAAGAATAAAAAAGGCCAGGCGTGGTGGCGCACACCTTTAATCCTAGCACTCTAGAGGCAGAGGCAGGAGGATCTCTTTGAGTTTGAGACCAGCCTGATCTACAAATTGAGTTTCAGGACAACCGGAGCTATGTAGAAAGACCTTGTGTCAAAAACACAAACAAACAAAAAGTGGTTAACACAGATGTAAACCCCAGAACGATGGATTCGACATTTATGAAGTAGTGTGTCTGGTAGTTTATAAAAGAGAGAGATGGGTCATTTTCTTTCTTGGGATTGAATCCTGGCAGCCATGAGCTCATAAAGCTATCAGAAATTGTTGCCTGTACTTAATGGGCCATTTGTTGTGTTAAAACCAGTAATACTAAATATTTATTAGCCAAGTGGAAAGATTTATCTCTGTAAATCACTGTGATTCATCTTTCCGCTTGCTAATCCTGGTTATTTAGGATTTTGTTTTTTAAAAACAAGGTCCTGTTGTAAGTCATTCGCCTTTTCCTTCCTGAGACTCACTATGTATGTATATTACAGACTTGCTATGTATATTACAGGCTTTTACTGTCAGCAACATTTCTGAAGTAGGAAACTCCTGAGATTTTCTGTGGGTAGTGTGTTTTAATCTGTACCTTCCCTTGGGAAGAATTGAAAACGTAGCAACATTGAGTCTCCTAACTGCAAATCTAGTCTCTCTCTGCATTTATTTAGGTCTTATTTAATTTGCTTTGACACTGTTTTGGAGCATTCAGTGGACAGTTCTTGGACAAACCTTTGTTACATATTTCCCCAAGTATTTTAATTCTTTTGATGTTGTTACACTATTTTAAAGTTTCTTTGTCATGATTTATTTGTGTATATTGATGTGTTTTCCTATGACACTGAAACTCATTTATCCTAGTAATTTTATTTTTATATTTCTAAGACTTTTCTAGAGGGGCCATCATGTCATGTGCAAATGAACGCAATTCTTTTGTTTTCCCTTCCAAGCACCGTGCCTTTTATTTTCCTCCCTTGCCTCATTGTGTGTGGACCACCACTCCAAGGATGGCATCACCACAATGAACAGGGCATCCCGTTCCAGCTCTCTGCTTTCTCTGTATTGCCATGGAACAATCAGGAAGGGCCAACCGCAGCCCCACAGACTTCCAGTGTAGAAAGGGTGTGGTGGGGTCATGCTCCTCAGGGTGTGCTGGTGAGTGGCTTGGGCCACTCCGTTGGGGTTGAGTGCCCACCTGGGCTGCAGTTGGGGTGAGATGAGGTACTGACCCAACTGCTGGCCCCTCTTCCACATAGCTGTGGGGGTGACTGTGTGAGCTGGGAAACAGGCGCAGGCTATCGTCACAGGCTACCCTTCAGACCAGTGCAGGGTTGGCCACTGAGACTGTTGCGCTCCGGACCCACTCAAGTTTTAATTGGTTGCACCTCTGCCTCCCTCCTCTGTCCCTGTTGTTTCACTGATGGGAAGTCTCACCACTGCCCAGAGCCTCCTTTTGAACAGCCATTCTCTCCTTAAACTATATTCCGTGGCTTCATCGAACGCTTCCTGGGCACGGGGTCATACATTCTTATTCTGTGAAGCAAACACTGAGCTCTGTGGCTCTTCACAAGGTTTTTTTTGTTGTTGTTTGTTTTTTTTTGTTTGTTTTTTGTTTTTTGTTTTTTTTTTTTCTTTTGACAAAGGACTTAAGCTTAGGGGAGTAGAGTCTGGTGATGTGACCAAGGCCAGACAGTAGTGGGTATGATGCCCAGAGCCATCAAACGGAGGGCAGAGCTAGTGTTTGGCATTCTTCCCTTCATGTGAGGTCTCGATGCAGCAGTGCTCTGCCCCTCTGCGTTCCCTGGGAGAGCAGGTGCTGGCAGAGCCAACCTGGCTTCACCTATGGGGTGGGGTGTGTGTGTCTGGGATGACCATTTTACAAGGAGGACAGAGGACTGCAGTGGAGATCAGAGCAGCAGGGCCACCAAGGTGTCTGTAGACAGGAGGAGGCAGCGGCAGCAGCAGCAGCTCCCTTCAGTTAAATGAGAGAGGAACAGGCCTCTAACCATGCTAACATGTAAAGATGCTCTGGGGCTGCAGGTGCAGAAGCCACTCTTCTCCTTGGCGTGATGCTTTGTCCGTCTTTGAGCAATTGTGGGTACTCCTGTGTTAAGTTGCTTCCATTTAGTTTCTATGTGGATGTCTACCCAAGGACAGCAGTGGAAGTTGGCAGCTGGCTTGTCAGTGTCTATTCTCTCTCTGTCTCTGTCTCTGTCTCTGTCTCTGTCTCTGTCTCTCTCTCTCTCTCTCTCTCTCTCTCTCTCTCTCCTTCTTCTGCCTCATCTACTGAGTGGGAGAGCCCTGAATCCATTCCCAGAGCCACCTGCTCTTTGTCTTGATGCCCGTCAGGTTGACTGTTCCATTCGAGGTTTGAACTCTAAGGAACAAACCACACACACACACCTCATCCAAGCGGCAATGGCCCCATTCTAATGGTGAGAGAATGGGAGTTACCGTGTGGACTTAGGATGGGTCTCAGGCTTTCGAGCCCCTGGGTCTGGTCCTTCTTGTAGCAATTCCAGTGGACAGACCTTGGAGCCACTTTCCCTGCTTTGCATCAGCAAGGCACCTGCCCATTTGAGCCTGAAGAAGGATCCCATATTTATGTTCATATTTCTGTGGGCAGATCTTCTTCCGCCCTAACACGGCACATCTGAAAGAAGGCGAGTCGAGTTAGTTATCCTTCAAGGCAGGCGTCTCAAAGCTGTGCTTCTGGTGCTTGCAGAATACCACGTGCCCTCTGGTTGCCGGCCAGCTGGAGTTAAACCTCCACTTGGTCCTTGCCCAGGGAGCTGGTCCCAGGAAGCCCAGATGCACTTGTTTACAGCTGTGTCTCCGTGATGGCTGCCAGACTCTGTGCAGAAGGAATGCGAATCTTCTACTCCCACAGTTCCATCTTTTATTTGGGTGTTCAGGGGACACACTGATCACAGCTATCTAGATTCCAGGGAGAGGAGCTGCGGTGGTTTAAATAAGATCCACCCACCCACCCACCCACCCACCGGCTCCAGTGTTTCAGCCATTGCTTCCCAGTTGGTGGCACTGCTTAGGAAGATCTTGGTGGCGCAGCCTTGCTGGAGGAAGTACGTCACTGGGGGTGGGCTTTGAGATGAATAGCCTCTCATCACTCAGTTTTCTCTCTGTGTGCTTGTGGTTGAAGATGTGAGCTCTGGGTTTTCTGTCCCTGCCATCCCCCCACCATGATGGCTCTTACCTCCTGGGGATGTAAGCTCTGGTAACTCTTCCTCCTATAAGTTGCCATGGTGTCTTCATCACAGCAACAGAAAGTGACTCATGCAGAAGCAGATCAGTGTATGTCATTGTGGAAGCAGAAAAGCTGTAGATTTGTTGAAACTATGGAGTGTGGGGGGGGCGGCTTCCCAGATTTCCCTGTAGTGTATTTTTGTTATTAAGACCATTTAGTATTCATGGAGGAATCCTTGCCTCAGTTTCCCCAAATATAATATGGTAATGATACTTATTTTGAAGTCTGTAAGAAAGTAGAAAGTGAAAGGGCTTAGAAAGCAGGCGTATTAAGATGTTGCTGTCGTGAAATCTGTCAAGTTAGTTAATCTCCCTGGAAGCTGTAGTCCTTTGCTTGAAACTGTGAACATCACACCGTGGGAAGGGAGATCAAATTTCTTGGCTGTATCAAGCAGCTTAGGGAGGGGAACCAGGCTGAGGGGGAACAAGAGAGGACTGGAGGGCTCCATGTTTATGGAGGTACCCTTCCAGTATGGGAAGTTAGTCCCCATATGTCCCTTTGCCCAGTTACGTCTGGTTGGAGTATTGCAGATCTTAGTGGAACAGGAATAATCTACAGATGCCCTGGAATGGGGGAACCCTGGGGACATGCGGCTGTGGTGGGTTACAAGAGGACTGGGAAGGTCCCAGTTCTTAGCCTAGGGGATAATTGTTTCCCTTCCACAGAGGGCATGTGTGTGTGATGTGTACATTGTACATATGTTCATGTGTATGATTATACGAATGTGTATGTGCGTATGATTATGCATGTGCATGTATGTGTGCATATGCTCATGCTCTGAATGTGTGAGTGTAGGCATCTGTGTGGAAGCACATGCATGTGCATGAGTTCGTGTGCCTGAGTATGTGTGTATGTATGTATGTGTTGATCCTTTCATGCATTTTGTCTCCCGCTAAGCCACATCGAGTTCCAGGCCCGAGCACAGGCCCAGCATCGCTAAACTACCTCGTCTTTGCTTTTGTTCCCAGGGCAGGAAGATCCCAACAGTTTGCGGCATAAATACAACTTTATTGCTGACGTGGTGGAGAAGATCGCGCCTGCTGTGGTTCACATTGAACTGTATCGCAAGTAAAGAGTGCCTCCTCCCCTTTCCCGTAACATCTGGAGCTGTCACTAACTAGTGACATGGCTATTTTTGACGCACATTAAAGTGTTAGGAATGTCGCTGGGTAGATTCCTATAGTATGATGGAGTTCTCTGCCTTAGGAAAATTTTCCTACTTAAATCTATAATCTTGGCCCTTCTTTTATTAACTTCTAGCTCTGAAGAGATTCCCAGGGAATATTTTCTAAGTGGAATTTTTGATTCATTCCAAAAAGTAGCCTAATGTTATTTTTAAACCGTTAAACACTTGCTAGATGTGCGTGGGTTGCTCCTGCAAAGTCATTTCCTGGTTTGTGTGAGTGTTTAGAGGTGTTCAGTCTTCACTAATGTCTGTTTCAGGCTTCCATTTTCAAAGAGGGAGGTGCCGGTGGCTAGCGGGTCTGGATTTATCGTGTCTGAGGACGGACTGATCGTGACAAACGCTCACGTGGTGACCAACAAAAATCGGGTCAAGGTTGAGCTGAAGAACGGAGCTACCTATGAAGCTAAGATCAAGGATGTTGATGAAAAGGCAGACATTGCCCTTATCAAAATTGACCATCAGGTGAGAAGCTCCTGAGGCCCCAGCGCCTCCCCAGCCCACATGGCCAGCTCAGCTCTCAGATGCCAGACCTGGAGAGGGTGAGGACACCAGAGCTCTCTGGTAACCCTGGAGCACGCAGCCACACCACAGAAGCTACAGGGCCAGGCAGCAGGAGAGAAGGGGCTCGGGAAGCTCCTGGAAGAAGCTGGCTCTCAGATCGGAGGTTTTTAATTGAATTAAATTAGTTTCTTAATTTTTTTTTTTGAGGTGGGATTTCTCCTGAGTGCTGGGATTAAAGTCAAGCCCTGTCACATAGTAGAGTTTTTAAAAGTAGCATTTTTTTTCTTCATAAAACCAGACTCTAAGGAAGTTAATGGGTAACTGGTGAGAAGAGAGACTCTGTCCCCGATGTTGAGGCATCTGTGTCAGAGATGTTTGTCTCCACATGCATAACTGGGGGTGTCCTGGGTTCTCAGCGTGTATGGAATGGATTTAAAAAGTTGTTTTTTTTTTGAATGACTTTTAACCATGTGTTGTGTTTGTATGTGAGTATGTAATTAGAGAAGCTGGGTACCCTGGAACTGAAGTTACGGGGTTACCTGACTCTGGGTTTCTGCAAAAACAGTGTGTTCTTTTAGCTACCGAGTCATCATCTCTCTAGCTCCTTGCTAAACTTTCTGTGCTCAAGGTTTTGGGAACCTAAGACAAAATTAACATCTCTTCCTTGAGCCTTTTAGAATCTTTAATGTGCTGATGTGCACATAGCCCCTTGCAAAAGGGCTGGAACGCAATATCTGCCCAAATTATTGTTTTCTATGAGCCCTTAACTTTGAGGCAGGGCCAGGGTGTAAAACTAAGACGTAGCAAGAGTGAGCTCACTTTGAGGAATGCGTGTGTGAAATTGCCTTGGGGGTCGGGATGTTTATAGCTCAGATTCTTTCTAGTCCTACTTGAATTAATTTTTTTATTTAATTAATTTATTTTTCGAGCCGGGCAGTGGTGTCACACGCCTTTAATCCCAGCACTTGGGAGGCAGAGGCAGGTGGATCTCTGTGAGTTAGAGACCAGCCTGGTCTACAAGAGCTAATTCCAGGACAGGCTCCAAAACTACAGAGAAACCCTGTCTTGAAAAACAAACAAACAAAAAAAAACCTAATTTATTTTTCGTGTGATTTTTTTTTTTTGAGATAGGATTTCTTTGTGTAGCCTTGACTGTCCTAGACTCACTTTGTAGATCAGGCTAGCCTCAAACTCACAGAGATTCACCTGCCTCAGCTTTCTGAGTGCTGGGATTAAAGAAATATGCCACCATGCTTGGCATTTTTTTTTAATAAAAGGAAAAGAAAATAGATTTTTAAAAAAATATTTGATACTCTGTTTGCACTTATTTTTGCTCATCAAAATCTCATGTAGCCCAGGTTGCCTCCAAACACCTTTGATAACTTGTAGGTGGCTTTGAACCTTTGACTTCCCTGCCTCTCCCTTCCATCTGTGAGGATTATGGGTATGCACGACCACGCCAGGCTTACACAGTGTTGTGAATCAAGCCAGACCTTTGTGAGAGCTAGGCAAGCCTTACTCTGTCAAAGGAGCCACATCTCCCACCCTTGTTTAGCAAAGTCTTCAGCCCTGAAACTAAATCCAGGTCTTACTGGATGGCCAGCAAAAATTCCCACGCCCCCTCATGCAGACCACACAATGATGTGACCTTTGTTTCTCCTTTCTTCCTGTCCCCAGAAACTTCTCCAGATAGAAGGTAGGAGGGTCAGTGGGAATTTTGTGATTGGTGCAGGAAAAGACACCCGTCTAGGAGCTAATGAAGTGTAGCGTCTTATCGTGAAGCTCTTACTCTCACCTGACTGTTAGGTAGGATGCCAGTTAGGTGAAGTCCTACTGTGCGCTCTGGACTATTGGATAGAGGCGGCTCAGTGTACTGTTGGGGCAGTAGGATGCTGGGTTCTTTTATCCTTTTAAAAATAGTATCAGGCATTCTTCCGGAAAAACCACAGGACCAAACATTCACTCTCTACCCTGTCTATTCCCTTACCTTCTCAGAGGCTGAGTGGTGAAGACAAGACTGAAGGCTGTAGCCCGTACAGGCTCTGTGCCCGTGCGGGTGACCGACTTTAGTGAGGTCACCGTGGGGTGTTATTTCTGCCAGGTTACTGTGGAATTTCTATCAACAGTTCATCTTTCTAACTGTGTTTGTTGGCACCAGGCTAATTGGGCCAGGCGCTGCCCTTCACATCCAATGATTCTCTAATACACAGGGTAGCTGTGTTATTCCTATTTTATAAAGGAAGTACAAACGTCCCGGGAACGCACCTGTACCTTATCACCCCCGCCTCCTCGGAGCCAGTGGGCAGACGTTCAAGTACCCAACTCTGCAGCCATAGCCACAGGGACAGAGCCTGGCCTTTACGTGGGATGGGACAGCACAACCTTAAATAGGTTGGCACATTTCCCATTTAGGAATGCTGCTGGCGAGGCGTCTAGAATATGGTGGTGGCACCAGAGGAGGCTGGCCAGAATAGCACAGCCGGCGGCCACATGTAGACCCTTCAGACCCACTGAGTTCACGGAAGACAGACAGCGTTGGGTGGCCTCCTGGCCGTCTGCAGGCGGGACCCTGGCCTGCGTGGGGTGTGAGATGTCTCCTCATGTCATTTCACGTTCGGAATGCGTGGGTGCATGCCACGTGACTGCTTCCAGCCCGGGGATATTCTTTTCTGATTCTGAGCCAACAAGGAGACAGGAGCCTCGTGTCACCTCTGGCATGTCCAGGCAGAATGTGAGAGCTCTCAACAGAGGAGCTGTGTGAAGGCTTTCAGGCCGTCCCTAGGAGTTTAGTCCTTCAGCCAGAAGCCTGATGTTGACATGTGCTGCCCCCCCACACCGAATATTTGGAAATGTAAAATGGAACTGACGTAGCTTTTGAAAATGGAATTGGAAATGAAAGGCAGACACCCACATCAAAGCCTGATTCCTGCCGACTACCCCACCCCACCCCATTTATGTTTGTCTGTTCTGATGAGAGTTATTTCTGGGGAGAGTCTAGCCTGGCTTGTAACAAAGCTTGGTTGGAAAGGAACTGGCCACCCAGGTGAACCGAGTTCCGGCAGAATTTACCCCTTATGTGTGATGCGATGTGATCAAGGCGTGGTAGGCAGCGGATGGGAGCAGAGCTGGCTTGGTACCACGTCCTCTTAGGCAACAACAAAGAAACAGGTCAGGGAAGGGGGGAGAAGACAGACTAGGATAGTGGGTGAGGTGGTGCACACCTCCAGTTCCAGCATTTGAGGAGGGGGATGGAAGGCAACACGATCTGGGCTTAAGGACAGCCTCCGTTAAGCATCAAGTTCGAGGTTAAGCCTGGGCTTCAGGCAGGAAAGTCACCCCCCAGGATGCTTTGTCACCTCCCCAGAGCCATTGAAGAGCAGCCCAGTGAAGCTGGTGTTGGGCCATGTACCACATGCACGAATCTAGTGACTAATTCAAGGGCTGGTCATCTGGGCCAGGTTTCTCATCAGCATCATGAGTTTGCTTGAAGGGGTTCTCTATGACTCACACTGGAATTGTCAGCTTTGAACATGCGTTTCACGAAATGGAAGGTGCAATGGACATTTCAAGACAGGGTTTCTCTGTAGCTTTGGAGCCCGTCCTGGAACTAGCTCTTGTAGACCAGGCTGGCCTCGAACGCACAGAGATCTGCCTGCCTCTGCTTCCTGAGTGCTGAAGGCGTGTGCCACCACTGCCTGGCTGCATCTTCCTTTTTATGTTGAGGTGCGCGAGCCATCCTATCTTTCAGTGGATCGGCTCCTCCACCTTTGGAGAGCCTGGGAGTGACTGTGAGTTGAGGAGCCTCAACCCCCACGGCCCAAGTAGGGTGAGCACGTGCTGCTCCATCAAACTGCTAACTGTTGTCGCATGCTGCTCACAGGAAGGACAGCGCTATAGCGCAGGCCTGCCCGAGCTCCTCCACTAAGGCCATTGTAGCCACTGCTACAGCCTAGGCCCGGCCAGAGCTCCTCCACTTCCTCCCTCTCAGAGTGCGCCTCCCATCTCTAAGGGCTTGAAGCTGCTTGGCTTGCAGTTGCCAGAGAGGTTTCTGGGCTTGTGACCAAAAGACTCTTTTGTTTCTCTCTGCTGAGCCGACATAATGTGCATTTGCTCTGCTTGCTACATTTTGAGACCCTAAAGGACTTCGTGGGAAAGGCTCACAAGGGAAGCCCTTTGTGGGCGGGGCTACTGAGCCGCCCCTTGGAGGAGAGAGGGTGACCCCTGTTGGATCTTCCCTTGAGCCTCATGGGATGCTCCTGTCCCAGAGCTGAAACTAGGGGTCCTCAATGGGATCCGTGTTGGTCTGGAGATGGCGGGATGGGGATCGCCCATGTAAACATTTTAATGGGAAGCAGCTTTGAGGGCAAACTAGTTCAGCTTAGGATACAAACTACTTCCAAATGTGTTCAACACGAGCCACTGGCCGTGTGTACAGAATATTTTTAACTTTTATCCAAAGGCAGCTTTTGGTTGTTGTTTTGTTGTTGTTGTTGTTGTCGTCGTTTTGTCTTTTTTTTTTCCTGAGCAGTCCAAGAGGAGGGTGGAGCCATAAGAGATAGGGAGAGACATAAAAAGTGAACCAATCGGGTGTCTTCAGGCTGGAGCCGGGGCGTGGGCAGAAACACGGGCAAGTGTTAAGGTAGGAGGGAAAGTGCCTGTTGCCACACAGCTGTTTTTCCAGCTGTGCCGATTCCTTTGGACGCTGTCCTGCCCGTCCCACGCAAACCCTCTGTATCCGGAACTCCTTCCTGGGGTCACCTGACTTGATCTGGCGCCCCTTTCTCATCCTCCTGCTCCCCTCTCCATCTCCTCAGGTCCCCTGGGGCTTGGAGCATTTTTCTCTCTCTCTGGCCTTCCTTTCAGCATTTCTGTCCTTCAGTGTTGGATCACATCCTGCTTTAGACCCCAGGGACATCCTTGTCTGACTCACTGCACAGAGTCGTCCCCTCAGCATGCATCCC